GCTGAGGTTAAAAGGCACGTTCTTGTGAAGGCAAAATGACAAAGACAATGACATAAAACTTGTTCCAAGAATCACATTTTTAATTTCTTTTAGATATAATCTGTTAGCATCCATTTTTGACAATTACTGGAGGAGTTTCAGTCATGAGTGCCAATTTCTACCTGGGAGCTTGGAGTTGATTAATAAGCTAAAAGAATTAATAATCGTGTGGCAAACTTCCAAGTGCTATGCACATAGTAGGCCATAATGTGGTGGTAGCAATCTTACTTTGCTCCTACCAAAACCAATTAACCGCTCCAAATCTTCCAACACAGCTGGAGTCCTATGTAATCAACAACTATAGTTATTGATTACAAAATCTCTTTAAGTATGCTTTTGGCCAAAAGGAACACACCATCACAGGAACTATTGATTATTTTCTACCATGACCAGAGATCTTTCTCAAAGATAGAACAGCATCAATAATATTAAATTATCTGCAGATCATGATCTTGTAAGTTAATTACTTGTCACATATTCTAAATGACTATTCCAATGTGGGTTTCAGTGGAACTAAGCCCCAGTTAATATACAAAGTTGTTCCTCAGGAAGAGTGGACAGCATCATTTCATGTTTCCCTGGCCTACAAGAACTGAATATGTTGTTAATCTGTTTGTCATGAAAAAAGTAATATATTTCTCCTTTATTTCATTATATTTTACTAGTTAGAAAGCAAAAAAACTGGAACTTACAGAATAAATAGAAATTTTTAGATTTCTGCTTGCTGGCTATCCAACTTTGGTGAGGATCTAGCTCTTTTTATTTCTTGAGTTAAATGAGCAAGTTCATTTTAGTTTCCAGGTCTGTGCACTTCTGCACTTTCATTTTCTTTGCAATGTGAAATTTACTCTTTAAAAAAACTTCTAGGCTCTGGCTAAACAAGAGAAAATTGATAATGAAGAACAAATTATCAAAGAAAGAGAGCGTCATGAGAAAATAGCTGTTGAAAGAGCTCAAGCTCGTTATAAAAAACATTATTCTATGTGTTGGGAAGTGGTCGACCAAATCGTTAATTTGTCAACAGAAGTAGGAGAATATCGTAAACTGACAAACAAGTGAGTATGGTAGTTGTTAGGCAAAGCTATTAGATTTCGTTATTCGGCCTACTTTAAGCACCAGAAGCATCTTATATAGATTCTCAAATATCTTACTGGACAGCTCGAATTGGTTTGTGTGGGAAAATGATAGTTCTGCTTTAGTGTGAGGATGCACTGATGCATAATAAAGGGTGAAATAATGCTAAAGTTGCAGCACAATTTCTCAAAAACTGAAATAACTTGAATCCTTCAGAGACCGAGATTCACTAGTTCTACCACTTGTGTAGCTACTGACTCCCTTTTTATTAACAAACACTTTAGTTTAAAAGGTAAAAACTGAGTGGTGCACATCTCATTCTAGATTGCTCCACTAGCTGAACTGTTCTCCAGTGTAGTATAAACACAATGCGTTTCCTAAGATATATTAACTAGCCTGGACTGTCCTAAAAGTAGCAACTTGGTCCAAAATCTTCTGAGTCTTAACGGGTTGTGATTACCTCTTCTGACATACCCTAACTGCACAGAGTGGGTTTCTTAGATGGTTCTAAATAGGCAGCAACCTCCAAGCGCCTGTGCTATAGGAGTGTTTCCAAAACACAGAGTGGGGTGGTGGTGTTGCTGTTCTTTCATTAGTATTCAGTGAATAGACTATGGAGTAAGGCTTACAGCATTAGAAAGTATGCTGAAATCTTCATTATTTTTTAATGAGTGCTAAAATAATAAAATTGTAACAACATGGAACATATATGATTATATGTTATAGAGATTACACAAATTTAGACTCAGTATGTCCTGGATAAAATAGTCACCCTAGACACAGTTTAGTGATGATTTGATTATTTCCTTGTCTGACATATTCATGATTCCAGTGTAAGTTAGTGTCACATTTCCTTCTACTGAGTGGTGTACAACAATATGTATAGATACCTGAAATATCTTTCCCAATTATGCATATCAAGGTTGTGTCTGCATTTAGCACCACTACAGGTATGTTTTGCCTGTGCTTCTGTGCTCTTCATTGTGCAGGTTCCATGCAATGTGTATTCAGTTCTTTTTGAACACCACATACAGATTTTATTTAAAGCTGTTACTCTCAACCATTACTAAAAAAAAAGAAAGTCCAAATTGCTGCAGTCTTAAGAATAATAGAAACCTGCATTTTGAGCATATTTAGCAGCCATGGAATTCTAATGTGACATATGTCAGCACTCTATTTGCAATTAGCTTACTACTATATGCAGTTTGTCTTTTTACATATGAATATTTTTCCCTTCTAAGGGAATAAGAAAAGGAAAGATTTTAATTACTCATATAATCCTGAATTAGTTGATGAGAAGAGGCCTTACTCCATGAAGGGAAAGAATATTTTGGAGCACGAAAAAATTAGCTATAGTGAAACTGTTACTACACAGCTCTGCCAGCCAAATACTATATGATGACACATTTGTGAGAATATTGAACCCTACAAGTGCCTACTGCTGTCATATAAGTAACAAAACACTTATAAAAAGCTGAAATAATTATAGAAAGCCTTATAAACAATATTTAGTTTAGCATATGCTTGTTTCATGACTGCGATTCTTGTAAATTTGCATCTATTATTCTCAGAAATCTAATTAATTTAATTTTTGTTTTGGGCCTGATTCTTTTTCTTTTTCTTCTGCAGCAAAATTCCATTAAAACTGATGCGTGATTGGAAGGAATTTTTTTTTAATGGAAAACCAATATATGAACAAGCTTCAATTCAACCTTTGCCAAATGATCCAAGCCCAGAACAACTTGTAGAGTTAAATAAAATGAATCTGTTAGATGAAAAAGATTATAGTGAATACAAGGTACATCAAACTGATAAGACATAATGGAAGATAATACACCTTAATTTTTCATAATCATATACATTTTGTTGTGATGTTTTCATTTTTCTTTCTTTTGCTAATTTCTGATATTAAAATTTCACATGAATTTTCTTTACATTGCATGAGCCTCTATATGAAATACATGGCTGTATTTTATGTTAGTAGCACTGAAGAGCTGGTGCAATTTTAAAACACAATTTCATTCTTGTATTTAACATTGGTTATATTTCTCTCTTGAGTTCATAGGACAAACTTGTAAATTGCAATGCAATTAATTTGTAGCTAATTGGAATTTAGAAGTTTGATTAATGGTACCTTGTTAGAAAATGCAACAAAAAGTAGTTATCAAAAGCAAGTAAAAGGAAATAATATATCTGCTACAAAACCTGATAGTCTTAATTTCAGCAACTTTGAGTTCAAGCTTTCTAACAAGGTTTATGTCATCCATTTATTTTAAGATGGTAACGTTTATGATAGTTATTTAAAATGGCTGACAGTTTTGTTAACCTTCTGTTAGAATACAAGTAACTATTTTTCAGGGTGCCTTAAAACTTTTGTTTGACTTTACAATATACCATGTAATTTTACAAGTGAAAGATGAAGGACAAATGTTTCCTTGTTAAAATGTGTCGTACATTTTTTTTCAAATCACATTTCAAATCACACATAATGATGCTTTTCTTTGGAGAAAAATTCCTGCTATGTATTTAGTCTTTTCAAATATTCTGTTTAACTAGAATATAGCAAAATCACTGCAAATAACCTATCTTTGACTTGTTGGGAAATTATAACTTCAATATACATGTGTATGCTTTTACTCACATCCTGAGCCACTTGTTCCATTTTCTTTTGCAGTGAGTAGAAGCATTTGTTATTGATTTATTGACGTATTGATTTCTTTTGGTTTCAATATTAATATACTGTTTTCTAATTTATCTTTTTATAAGAACTTTATTCAGACTGTAGCATCTTGTGTAATGAATTTCATGATCACTTTCTTTAGGTTAAAAAAGACATATATATATGTATGTATAAGAACAACAGGGAGGACATGCAAGACAGGCAGGAAACAGTTACTGAAGAGCACTAATGAAAAAATAAGGTTTAGAGTCATATTGTTTATGTTACAAAGTTGCAGTAATCCTCTGTAGATGTAAGGGCACTGAAGGTCATAAAGATTTAATGACATGTCTAAATCATCTTTTTCACTACCAGCTTTTTTCAAATGCCCATTCAAATAATGGCTTTTTTTTCCAGAAGTTGTTAGTCCTATTCCTTTTTCCATCAGTATTCATCAAAAGTTTATATCATATGATGTGTAAAATCGTAGACAGCAATTCATACTTATGTCTTCTAAAAACAAAATTGAACAGCTTATACCTTCAAGTATTGCTTCTAGATAGAAGTGTATTGCACTTCTGGCAATATGGCAAAGTTTATGATTTTCTTAACCCTGGAGAAAAAAAGTCCAGCACAGATAATTTGGCATTTCTCAAGAATAAAGTCTATGTTAGGAATACTGACTGAAATTTTAAAAAATATTTTATAAAATACAGGAGCAAACCACAGTGCTATTAGTCTGTTTCACATTTCAATCAGATTGATCTTGAAAATATTTATAAACTGTAAACATCATCAGTTGTGGCCAATCCCTTGATAAATCAATGGAATCACCTGAAACAAGTGTAACAGCAGGCACTGCTGAAAATGTAAATTAATTTCTAGCTTCAATCAAGAGTGTTGACTGGGATTTCTATAACTCTCACCTAGGTACCTGAAAACTTGTTTCTGACAGGTAAGCTACTTTAGCTCAAGACATGTACAGTCTAGCTATCTTCTGGTTAGAAGGGCAAGAAACTGAAAGGTGGGTACTTTAAATGGGGATCCCATTCCATTTGGAGTTAATTTCTCCCACAGGTCTGATAGAATTTGAAACAACTGATCCATCTCGATTTATATGTTTAAGGAAGAATGGTTCAGACAGGACAAAGATTTGGTTTTTTAAGCATGTCTTTTCAATTACATAGTAAGAAGTATGTTTTCTGAGATATATTAGATAGGGGATATTGTGCAACTCTAAACAGATTTTTTTTTGCTTGTTTTTACTTATTACAAATGGGTGATATTTTCATTTATACGTTACATTGTCTTATTCTACCTAATGTATCTATGTTCAAAGTCAACACTGATCAAATTCTGTTAGTAGAATGTGTGCTGTGACAATATATAATTCATGATAGCAGCTTAAAAAGATTGCATATTCTACCTGGAACATGAATTCAGAACATTATCTTTTAGCAGAACTTAGAATGGAACAGGTTGCTTCTGTTGATGATGTTTAAATATGTAATTTCTAGAACAATACAATTGTTTAGACTGAAAGGGATGTGGAAGTAATGTAGTTCAAACTCTTTGCTCAAAGCAAGGCCTACTTTTGAGTCAGGTAAGATTGCTTATCACCTTCCCTGGTCAGCTTTCAAATATTTCCAAGGATACAAATTCCACAGACTCTCTGTGCAACTGGTTCCTGTGCTTAACCACTCTCATTGTGAACATTTCTGCATTTTTTTTTCCTAGTTGGAATTTCTTTTGCTGACACATTTGACTTTGTATCTCAACCTTTTATTTTGTACCCCAAATAAGGTGACATGCTAGAATCTAATTTGGAATATTATTAGTCTGCATATCTCTCAAACAGTTGTTTAATAGCCTGCAATCAAATCATAATTAATACCGGACTAGTATTATCCCGCATACCTAAATGTTCTCTTTTAGGTTCTCATAGCATAAACTGCACATCAAGACTCTCCTGGTGTTACAAGACCCAATACTGACAGAGTACATATTAGAGTGTCAAAAGCACAGTTTTGTGTTCTGTTCTTTTGACTTCATTCTTCCATTCTCATCTTTCTCCCAGTGTGATTATCAGTGAGATTATCCTTACTAGCAAAGCCTCATTAAGCTGTATGCTGGAAACTCATAGCACTGATAAATTTATATTGGTCTCAGAGTAGATGAACCGGAAGTATCTAGTCAGTATTTCCTTCCCTTAAAATTGTTTGAATTATGTGATGGTTTGCTGGTTTTGAGTTGTTGGGCTTTGGGACTTTTTTCTCTCTATTGAATGTGTATTAAGCAAATATATTTATTAGGAATATTTGTCTATAAAAATTGTCAAAGACTTATGTGTGATACTGGAAAATAATGTAGCCCAGTTTTTAGAATGCTGAATATTAACATACTGGGCTTCTATTCCAAAAATCTACTACTGGTTTATTCTGTGGTATTGGTGAAATGACTTCCAGTTTATGGAATAGAAAAAAATTATTCTAGGAATCTATGAAAATGGTTGTAGGAGTACTTGTCTCTCTGAACTAGATATTAGTGGTTATCAATAAATGCTTAATGATTATGACATATTTATAGCTTTTAGCAAGTGTCTATTCTAAAAATATACTTTATTATTTAATACTATTCAGATTTGGTTATTGTATGTATTATATTTATGTATAAATACATAAATCTAGAAAGATGAATGACAAGGCATATTGACAAATTATTTGGTAATTTTTCATTTATACAGAGTATGACAGGGGAATGGTGCCCAACAGAAGAGAAAAGTGAAAACAAACCTCCTCTTAATAATAACATATTGGGTCATGTGCTTCGTAGACTGATGGAGACTTTCTATCCTCCAAAACCCAAATCATCACCACCTATTTTTCCTCAATTTCCTATCAAGGGATGTATTTTGGGAAAACTTTTTAGTGGAAAAACTACCTGTGTAAAGTTTGTTGAAAAAGGTAGAGACATTTTTTTTTCCTAAAATTCTTTAAAATGTTTCTGTTAAAATCACATTCTTACAATGAAAATTGTTTGGGCAAATACTTGCACTACTCATGCTTAAACCTCAGACATATCTGTATTTTGCAGGGGTTGGTTGCAAGTCATTCATTCGTTATCTTCCAAAATAAGAATAAAAACACCTAAACTTGAATATAGTGTTAATACAGTATTACTTCTGCATTGAGAATTTAAAAAGGCTTTTGGCAAATTTCTCTGCGGATGTTTGCTACAGAAGAGACCAGCAAGATTGCTAGATAGCATATCATTGTGGATATACACTATGCAGTGGTTACAGAGAAGAGACAGTGGAAACAACTTACATCAAAAGCCCGCACAAAAGGAGTGGTGGATTGCTTTACATGTAATAATGCTGTCTTCTCATCATTAATTTAATTGCCAGTGATAGTCTTTCTATAAGTATGCTCAACTCAAACTGTAAAGTTATCTAATTTTCTTGTGTATTAGTTTGCAACATTCAGGTACTATCTATTGATACTCTGGTTCAGGAGGCCATCCAAGCTTTTCTTAGAAATGAACTGAAAAGTGAACACAATGTGATTCCACAAGAAGCAGGAAGTTCTGGGAAAAAAAATGAGGTAAATCATTTTTGTTAATTTTGGTTTTGGCTCCCACAGGGAGATAGGAATGAAATATATAACGCAGAAAGCATATTATTTCATTTTTTTTACTCAACTTCAAACTGAAGTTTTGTTTTTAAAACACTTAATTAATTAAAATGAATTAAAACTTAATTTATTAAAACTAATTATAACTTAATGGAGTTTTGCCTTACAAGACTTCAAGACTCAGCTTGAATTGACAGGATTGTTTTTCCAGTAAGTTGTAGTCTCTTTTCTAATCCATCTCCTTTTGTAATTGATACAAGGTCCAGAGGAATGTTTCAAAATCATCAGTGAAAATTCTAGAGAAACTCCAAACAGAAACACCTATCAATGGAACCAATGGTGTGTCTATATTTTATTTATATATGTCTATATGTTTATAAGATTTAATTTAAATTCTTATCCTGTCAGATTTGAATGTCATTTCCTCTTTTTCCTGTATATTTGAGGTAGTATCCATGACACTTGATTTTTCACAGTAGTTTCACAGAATCATAGAATCATTAAGGTTGGAAAAGACCTTTGAGATCATCA